ACATATATATACATATATAAATATATATGTGTGTGTGTGCGAGTGTGTGTGTGTGTGTGTGTATGTGTGTGTAAGTGTGAATGTATGTATGTATATATATATATACAGAACGTGTTGGTAAAGATGAATAGATAAACGAGCACAATAAGAAATCATACTAAATTGTAACGATTCGAATTCGTCAAGAGTTCTTCATCAGGCGAGTGAGTAACCAAAATATCAGTTATTTATTTGTCTGATCAGGAACTCTTGAAGAGTTCGAAACGTTTCGATCTGTTTCATTTATTATTGTGGCTGTTTTCCTACTTATACACGCACACATACACAAGCAACCCACGCTCTGCTCAGTGCAACATGACACAACTAGTCTTGCCTTGAAGCTGTCATCGACTCTTGCGCTTCTCACGGGATGGACGAGAGTCGATGGCAGTTTCAGAGCAAGGTTAGATTCCACGTGGCGCTTGGCGGAACGTTCCAAATTGGAATTATATATATATGTGTGTGTGTGTGTGTGTGTGTGTATACACCCACACAGATAGGGAGTTGTACGATGACGCATATTCTTACTGTTTTAGGTCATTAGAAAGCATGGCATCATTATCAATACAATTCAAGGCCCGAGTTCCTTTCCTAGAACTTGTTCACGTTACTTATTTATCTTTTTCTTACCATTATTATTATTGTTAATACTGGCTAAACAAAATAAAAGAGAGTAATCAATAATAATCACGCAGTTACAATAATTGTAAAAAAAAATAAGTTAAGTGTATTATATATTACTTTCCTCTTACATCACCTTCCAAAATAGATTGCTGTTTCAAATGACATTTTCTACTCCTGCATTCGAAACACATGTTAATACATCCACGGGACATGTGTTTCGAATATGAGTCACCCGTTTGTAACCTTGCACCTCGTGGAACTCTAGGTCACCGTCGCCCGAGAGAATGAAGAGGTCGTTGGGAAAACAAGACCGGAATTATAGTAGGTAGAATTCTGTTGACAATATCGCTCTGTACATGACGCTAGCGACAGAAACGACGATAGTATTAGCAATCATTCTAACAGTGATAGTAATGGATCAGCAAATAATGGACGATAAATAGATATTCAGAAAAAAGTCAATCTCGTTCACGTACTTAAAAACAAAATTCAGTAGTTGGTATTTTCAACATCAATATTTCACAAACAAAAAGCAGGGTAGTACAAAATAAGGCTCTGCTTGCTGTATCTTGCAACTCTAACACATGTCTGTCTGTCTCCCCCCCTCTCTCAATCAATCTCTCTCTCTCTCTCTCTCTCTCAATCAGTCTCAATCTCTATCTATCTATCTCCATTTTTTCGTCTCCCTCTCCCTCACTCTTTATCTTTCACACACACGTAATCATTACCATTTCATAATTTTTACTATCATCATTGTTATTATTTTACCTGCAAGTAATCAATGATTCCTGGTCTCGTCACACAACTCTTCAGAGGATGACCTACAGGAACAAGGGCCGGCGATCGCCGAACCTGCAGAGGACGTCACCAGCCTCGATGCCCTTCCTAAAGCCCCTTTAGCAGCTCCATCACCAGCTCTAGCTCCAATACAGCCGCTTACTCCAGCTCCATTCCCTTTCCCAGATCCTTCAGTGACCTCACACGCAACCCAGGCTCCCTCCATCACCCGACTCCTACCGGTCTTTATGTCTTCGGAGGTCGTACGCGCCCCGGAGAGCATGGGCCAAGGTCTTAAAGTGGATGGCGTGTATTTGCCCCCGACCAGGCGTCGCGTCTTACCCAAAGGCTTGCGATTATCTCCTAACATTGTGAACCAGCCGTTCCTGCCCTGTCCCGGGGTATGCGAGACGCGCAACAGTAGGCTAATGGAGATTGTGAAATTGATGTTACGTGTATTTTCGCATGTAAGCTACGTGTCTTTGGTGAATAATGCTAATTCAAGTCACCGTTCACTGGGTTTTATTCCTACCTTCTCTCTGTTCTACAATGGAGAAGAAAATGGGTATTAAGATAAAATAGTCAAAGAACAAAAAAATGGCTTTCAAATATATGGTTTCGTTTATTTATTTATTTATCTTTATCATTAATATAAAGTTTCCACTTTTATAATTTAGATGCTTTACTGCATAATATACTTCCCTCCACATTTCCCAACAAAATGATATCATCCACGGACATCAACCAGTTCATAATTGATTTATATCTATACCATCCACGTATTTGCAATAATAATAACACTTTGACATTAACACTGATTTCAACATTTCCTTCCTCATCAACCACCTTTTTCAGCATACACTTAGTTCATTGCGTACAGTCTGTCTGTCTTTCTCTCTTTCTTTCTCTCTCTCTCTCTCTCTCTCCTTCCCTACCACTCTCACTCACTCTCTCTCTCTCAGTCTCTTTGTCTCTCTCTCTCTTTCTCACGCACAAATACAGACACACCCACCCACACACAAATTAGTCTAAAAGCTTTGCAGCCGTTGAATAACCCGTCGGTTATCATTATCATTTTTATCATTACTTTTCTTATAATTATTATCTTCGTTGTTGTTATTATTATCATTATTACTATTGTTATTGTTATTATTATTGATATTATTATATATTATAATTTTATTATTATCATTATTATTATCATTATGATTATTATCATCATCATTATGATTATGATTATTATCATCATCATTATAATTATCATTATTCTCTTTATTATTGTTACAATAATTGCCATTACTGTTATCACAATTACTATTCTTAACTATAAATTTTCAACTTTATCACCACGATTATCATCATTTTCTTCATCACAGATATTAATATCACTTTTCCTATTTCTACAGTTACGTAATGTATAGCCAAATATAATTATGATAATAAGTAGCATAGTTCTGTTTGTGAAACGTCAATTGACAAAGGTTTACGTTCATGTTTCAAAACTTGTTCATCCAGTTTGCATGCCCCACCTCTACATAAATGGCAGTGGTAACCATGGCCTGCTTTTATAGGAAAATTTTGGTGAAGCTCGGGGTCTGGTAGGGAACTTGTCTAACACTTGGCGTATGGCACACATCTTAGAAACACACACACACACATAATATATATATATATATATACACGCACACACACGCACACACACACACACACACACACACACACAACACACACACACACACACACACACATATATATATATATATACCGTAAAAATTAGCTAGAATAACTCGATCAGGTAACAACAAAACCAAGGCAAAATATGTCAGGTATGACGTGGTCTATTAGAAATGACAAACGGCAGATGTTTCCATTGTTGGGGTACCCTTGGCAGAGCTCAAAAACTAAAACATGAAAATCTAGATCAGCTCATATAAGGGCCAGCTACATATGATAGAGTGACACCACCACCATGAGGAAATACCAATGCAAGACATATTCACTGGCGGGGGCCTGCAGGAGACAACCCAAAATAACCACACCCTTAAACTGAACTGATCTTCGGCACTGAACTAGCTTTACCAGATGCAAGTTTTTCCTCATCCTTATAATAATAAGAATAATATTGTTTATAACGACTGTTTAAATGAGCGACGCTTTCTGTTTAACAGATACAATTACATTATTATAACCAATAGGGATAGTTTGATAATCAAAATAGGTTTGTGTTTGGAAATCAATTTACCGTAGCTTTGCGGGGAAAAGCCTTAAAGAATATGTGGATACAAGCAGATACGGTGAACCCTCACATACCTCCTGTCGGAGTTCCTCCTTGAACATATGTCACCACGGGCACAGCTGCTTTGCACCCCTTTCTTTACCGAGCCTGGCGACCTATTTTTTTCATGAGAAAGGTCACGCCCTTTCGCTTTCATGTACAGCTGGAGGAATCTGACACGCCAACGAGCAGAACCAAGCACCTGGCCTCGAGGGGAGCCGCCACATATGAAGGGATGCATCCTAGGCACCGTGTGCAAAGAGGAGGGAAACAGACATACCGACACAGGCAGAGACAGACAGTCTAGCTCGTAGCTACCACGTCCTCTATGCCTAGGGAGATGGAAGTCTCACAATTACCTTCCTTGAAGAGCAATTAGCCCAAAAGTTTATCTTACCCACACTAAGGCTCCGGTCTGTCAATAACAACTTAAAGCTCCCGACTATCTTTTCCTTCTATCTTTTATTATTCAGGAAAAGTTTCGGGAGATCTGATTTCAGAAATTACAATAATTAAAATATATCAGTGACTCATGACTACTACTAATGATAATACTGATAGTAATGTCAATCATGGCAATAAAGATAATAATGATAATGATAATATTAACAATAATAACAACAATGATAATAATAATCATAGTAATAACAATAAAAAATCAAGATAATAATAACAGTAATGATGATAATGATAATACTAAGAGTATTTGCAATAAAAAAAATATTGTAGATAACAATAGTACTGCTACTAAGTAATGATAATGATAATAATGATAATGATAATAATTTGATAATGATGATGATAATGATAAAAAGACCGGAGGGTCACGCTTCACAAACCCATCGAATATTTGAGTTTCGGAGAATAGTATAACTGCTTTTACTTTATCTACAGCTTGTCGAAGCAAAACGACACTTTCATAATTCATAAGAAAGAAATCTTGACAAGCTAGAGAAAATCTGCTCAGTAGACATGGATACCCAATTAGCATGTGTGTGAGTGAGAGTTAGTGCAAAAATGGATGAATGGGTGGTTTTGCGTGTGTTTGTGTGTGAGCGAGTGAGACCGTAAGTGGATGAAGGTGAGTGATTGTGTGAGTGCGTGACAGTATGAAAGTGACTGCAGGTGTTTGTGTGAGCGAGTGAATGCGCAAATGAATGAATGAGTGATTGCATGCGTGTATGTGTTTGTGCGATGCGTTTGGAAAGAGAAAGTTGTTGGCCTTTGCTAGACACACGATCCATAGGCGAGGTGGTTGCCTTGCGTGACGACGTAGCTATTTTACTGTTGGCACTTGGCGGCTTCGGGTGTTTCCCAAAAGCTCTTTTCAGGTAGGTATGAGCTCTACCTTGCACATACAACTATAATGTGTTGAATGTTAATTCTCTTGTTAGTCTGCGGTTAACGTGATAAAAGGTGTATCCCATAGTACAGGTGGGGCGACAGGTCTGAAAATTAACCGCGCAGATATGTGTTTGTATATATGAATCTGTAGAGGGAGAGTTACGTGAGCAATTTGACTTCCTGAAGAACTTTTCGATGAAGTGTATTGCTTGAGGGCTTGTAATCCTGACACACGGTTGTGGTAATTCTTGGGTGCACGATCAATTCACAATTTTATTGACGGTGGTGATAATTCTGATTATACTAGGAAGAACATTGTTGGTGATGATAGTAGGGACGAAATGAAATAATTTCTAATAACAAAGGTACTAAATATGATTATGATGATTGTTATTAACCGTAATGATAATGACAATGGAACAAAACACCGTGTTAGTGAATTAATTTGTTAACTGTGTTAGTCAATTGCTGTGTTAACATTATTCATAAGTGCCATTTACATGACTGGGTAGCTTTCCATTAGCCTAAGTGAATGTGAATATTAGTCTCGCAGCCAATCTCAAGCATTTGTTTAAGTTCATCATATGTATATATAAAAACATTGATATAACTCACGTCAAAACAGCTGGAAAATTAACTACTTAGAAGTTATTGATGACTGGACACAGGTAACTGGACGCAATACGGGTGAGTAAACATAGCACGCAGCACCGGACAAATAAAATATAACTAGACGGAACGGTGAATAACTGGCCTCCGCGCGTCTCTTTGCAGAACGAGCCACTCATGGAGATCCGCGCCCTCTTCCTCTTGTTCTTCGTCCTCCTTAGCGGCGATTCCTTCGGAAGAAGTACCGAGGGAGAGTCGGACCAAGAGACCAACCAGGAAGAGTCTGTAGAAATTCCATCTTCAGAAGACTCAGGGGAAGCCTTGACGCCGTGGGAGCTAAGGGCAGGGCTGTCGGAGCGGAGAAGTCAGTCACTCTTTACAGAAAGTCAAGGTTGGTGCCTGAGCCTGTTTGCCGATTTATATCCGCTGGAGGTGAGATCGTATGTAAACGGACACACGCACCTATATGTGTGTGTGCATATAGTTTAATGATTTGCATATATATAGATTCCATATATATATACATACACATACACAGAAAATATATACATGTATTTATATTATGTTTATTTATTATCTATTTATATGTGTGTACGTGTGATTTATATGTTACTTTCATTCATACATATAATGATATACTGTACCTATATACATATATATTATATTCCCACACATATGTGTGCATAAATTCATGTACATAAATAGAAAAAAAACGATTTAACTGATATTTGCGGCAGAAAATTCTCATTGTAAATCTGTTAATACCTTATTTGTAAGTGAAAATAATTGTATGAGAGTACGTCACTAAATACCAAAGTAAAAACCGTTTAGGATTCATGATATATTTTCGGTTTACAATAAGAATGTGATGAATTAAGATTCGTTCAGCGAGCTCTCTTGCAATTTGAGGACTTGGAAAAGTGGTCATTACTAATGATTCTGCTTGCTCATCCTGTTACAAGCTACGCAAAGTTTTTATATATGTGTGTGAGTGTGTGTAATATTTGATTTTACACATTTTGACTTCATCGCTCTTCGTATAAACAGGTTTTTATTCACATTTTCTCATTTCACCGAAAAGTATTCTCAGTATTTTCGAATCTGTTCAGGACACGTCCAACAGGACCAAGGGTCATCGGTCGCTCACACGCCAGGAGAGGGAGCCAGGGTCCCTGTGTTTCCTCAAGCTCCTTCGCCAGCTCTAGCTCCAGTTCCAGCTGCTCCGGCGTCTACGCTGCCCTCATACATCACCCGACTTGTGCCAGTGTTCATGTCGTCGCAGTTCGTGGGCGCTCCGGGCGGCGTCAACGGCCTGTATTCGCCCCCAACTAGAGAACCAGACATAATACACTTTGGCGGATTTAGAGGGAGATTAGCCGGTAATTTACATCAATGTATCAATGAGTGTGAGTTACGCAATGTTTATGGAAAGTGTGTAGTTAATGAAATATGTCGTTTCATGATGGGGTAGGAAACCATGAACAGTATTCAAATGTAGAAAAGGTGTGAGAATTGAAAATGAATATTTTCACAATATTTTTAAGATAGTCATGCTCATGTATACCTTATCTATGTAAACAACCGTGTTTCACCCTTCCCGCTAGGTATAATTAATCAAGGCGTCATGAATACCTTTTTAACACTTATGTACTTTTATTTTACCTGTTCAGTTTTAAGTGTGAATATCAAGAGTAGTGGTATTATGGACAGAACGACTCACCCCCATTCCCTCCCCTCCCCCTACCAGTGGGCGTGACGTAACCAATGACCTTGACGAAACCGCAAACCGCAAACCACAACATGTCCATAACAACATAATTAAGACCCGGAAATCAATAACCTACTTTCACTTGTGTGTATTATGTTCGTACATGATACATCATTAAGAGAAATAGTGAAAGGAAACTGGAACTAATGATGTAATGATGTAATGACGTAACCAATGACCTTGACGAAACAGCAAACCGCAACATGTCCATAACAACATAATTAAGACCCGGAAATCATTAACCTACTTTCACATGTATATGTTATGTTCGTACATGATACATCATAAGAGAAATAATGAAAGAGATGACCGGAAACTGGAACTAATGGTTTGTTATAGGCAAGGAACCCCTCCAATGCAGGTGACAGGTGACACAGGTCAATGACCATGTCACGAGTGAAAGCAGGTTAATGATCAAACCACTAGACCATAGCTAATGATGGCTAGCACGCACACATATACCCCAAAATAGTACATCATAATAGAAAGATAACCACTGAAAACGATTAACAAATCAATAACCATAACCGAAATCATTACCCGTAGCCAGCAGTGTCTAGCACACAGGTAGATGCTATAGATGACTCACACGTTGCTCCTCCCACTCACACCACAATATTCACCATGTTTAAACTTGTACCGAGATCGATAATTGATTCTGTTACAGACGAGGCGTCACAAGCAGGTTAATGATCATGAGGTAACCACTAGACCTTAGCTAATGATGGCTAGCACGCACACCTTACAGTTCAAAATAGCACATCATAACAGAAAGATAACCACTGAAAACAATTAACTAATCAATAACCGCAACCGAAATCATTACCCATAGTCAGTGATGTCTCACACACAGGCAGATGCTATAGATGACTCACCCATTATCCCCTCCCACCCATACCACAATATTCACCATGTTTGAACTTGTACCGAAATCGGTAATTGATTCTGTTACAGACGAGGGAACCACCTCTCCTAATGACTGAAAATCAATAATAACTAGGTTACACAGGCCTGCCAACAACCAATAATTACTGCTCCTCCCTCACTATGACAGAGATAAGAATACAATTAAGTGTAAAGGATTATAAAACTCGTTATACAATATATGCTTTTATTTTCGATTGTATAAACACTATACAAGGTGCTCACACACACACACACACACACACACACACACACACACACACACACACACACACACACTTAACTGGCAAAATCAATATTAAATAGGTCACACAGGTCTGCTAATGACAGATAATTACTGTTCCTCCCTCGCCATACCAGGGATAAGAATACAATTAACTGTAATAGATTATAAAAAATCGTCATACAATACATACCTTTATTTTCAATTGTATAAACACTTTGGCAATATTCACCATGTTTAAACATGTAACTGAACCGATAATTAATCCTGCTACAGACGAGTGATCACCCCTCCCTAATTCATCATAATCCATAAATGTCTTGACACGTTGTCTGCATTAAATCACCAAAACACCTCAATATTAAGAATTCATTGCAGTCAAAAGGATTATAAAATTGTTGGCCTTTGCTAGACACACGATCCATAGGCGAGGTGGTTGCCTTGCGTGACGACGTAGCTATTTTACTGTTGGCACTTGGCGGCTTCGGGTGTTTCCCAAAAGCTCTTTTCAGGTAGGTATGAGCTCTACCTTGCACATACAACTATAATGTGTTGAATGTTAATTCTCTTGTTAGTCTGCGGTTAACGTGATAAAAGGTGTATCCCATAGTACAGGTGGGGCGACAGGTCTGAAAATTAACCGCGCAGATATGTGTTTGTATATATGAATCTGTAGAGGGAGAGTTACGTGAGCAATTTGACTTCCTGAAGAACTTTTCGATGAAGTGTATTGCTTGAGGGCTTGTAATCCTGACACACGGTTGTGGTAATTCTTGGGTGCACGATCAATTCACAATTTTATTGACGGTGGTGATAATTCTGATTATACTAGGAAGAACATTGTTGGTGATGATAGTAGGGACGAAATGAAATAATTTCTAATAACAAAGGTACTAAATATGATTATGATGATTGTTATTAACCGTAATGATAATGACAATGGAACAAAACACCGTGTTAGTGAATTAATTTGTTAACTGTGTTAGTCAATTGCTGTGTTAACATTATTCATAAGTGCCATTTACATGACTGGGTAGCTTTCCATTAGCCTAAGTGAATGTGAATATTAGTCTCGCAGCCAATCTCAAGCATTTGTTTAAGTTCATCATATGTATATATAAAAACATTGATATAACTCACGTCAAAACAGCTGGAAAATTAACTACTTAGAAGTTATTGATGACTGGACACAGGTAACTGGACGCAATACGGGTGAGTAAACATAGCACGCAGCACCGGACAAATAAAATATAACTAGACGGAACGGTGAATAACTGGCCTCCGCGCGTCTCTTTGCAGAACGAGCCACTCATGGAGATCCGCGCCCTCTTCCTCTTGTTCTTCGTCCTCCTTAGCGGCGATTCCTTCGGAAGAAGTACCGAGGGAGAGTCGGACCAAGAGACCAACCAGGAAGAGTCTGTAGAAATTCCATCTTCAGAAGACTCAGGGGAAGCCTTGACGCCGTGGGAGCTAAGGGCAGGGCTGTCGGAGCGGAGAAGTCAGTCACTCTTTACAGAAAGTCAAGGTTGGTGCCTGAGCCTGTTTGCCGATTTATATCCGCTGGAGGTGAGATCGTATGTAAACGGACACACGCACCTATATGTGTGTGTGCATATAGTTTAATGATTTGCATATATATAGATTCCATATATATATACATACACATACACAGAAAATATATACATGTATTTATATTATGTTTATTTATTATCTATTTATATGTGTGTACGTGTGATTTATATGTTACTTTCATTCATACATATAATGATATACTGTACCTATATACATATATATTATATTCCCACACATATGTGTGCATAAATTCATGTACATAAATAGAAAAAAAAAACGATTTAACTGATATTTGCGGCAGAAAATTCTCATTGTAAATCTGTTAATACCTTATTTGTAAGTGAAAATAATTGTATGAGAGTACGTCACTAAATACCAAAGTAAAAACCGTTTAGGATTCATGATATATTTTCGGTTTACAATAAGAATGTGATGAATCAAGATTCGTTCAGCGAGCTCTCTTGCAATTTGAGGACTTGGAAAAGTGGTCATTACTAATGATTCTGCTTGCTCATCCTGTTACAAGCTACGCAAAGTTTTTATATATGTGTGTGAGTGTGTGTAATATTTGATTTTACACATTTTGACTTCATCGCTCTTCGTATAAACAGGTTTTTATTCACATTTTCTCATTTCACCGAAAAGTATTCTCAGTATTTTCGAATCTGTTCAGGACACGTCCAACAGGACCAAGGGTCATCGGTCGCTCACACGCCAGGAGAGGGAGCCAGGGTCCCTGTGTTTCCTCAAGCTCCTTCGCCAGCTCTAGCTCCAGTTCCAGCTGCTCCGGCGTCTACGCTGCCCTCATACATCACCCGACTTGTGCCAGTGTTCATGTCGTCGCAGTTCGTGGGCGCTCCGGGCGGCGTCAACGGCCTGTATTCGCCCCCAACTAGAGAACCAGACATAATACACTTTGGCGGATTTAGAGGGAGATTAGCCGGTAATTTACATCAATGTATCAATGAGTGTGAGTTACGCAATGTTTATGGAAAGTGTGTAGTTAATGAAATATGTCGTTTCATGATGGGGTAGGAAACCATGAACAGTATTCAAATGTAGAAAAGGTGTGAGAATTGAAAATGAATATTTTCACAATATTTTTAAGATAGTCATGCTCATGTATACCTTATCTATGTAAACAACCGTGTTTCACCCTTCCCGCTAGGTATAATTAATCAAGGCGTCATGAATACCTTTTTAACACTTATGTACTTTTATTTTACCTGTTCAGTTTTAAGTGTGAATATCAAGAGTAGTGGTATTATGGACAGAACGACTCACCCCCATTCCCTCCCCTCCCCCTACCAGTGGGCGTGACGTAACCAATGACCTTGACGAAACCGCAAACCGCAAACCACAACATGTCCATAACAACATAATTAAGACCCGGAAATCAATAACCTACTTTCACTTGTGTGTATTATGTTCGTACATGATACATCATTAAGAGAAATAGTGAAAGGAAACTGGAACTAATGATGTAATGATGTAATGACGTAACCAATGACCTTGACGAAACAGCAAACCGCAACATGTCCATAACAACATAATTAAGACCCGGAAATCATTAACCTACTTTCACATGTATATGTTATGTTCGTACATGATACATCATAAGAGAAATAATGAAAGAGATGACCGGAAACTGGAACTAATGGTTTGTTATAGGCAAGGAACCCCTCCAATGCAGGTGACAGGTGACACAGGTCAATGACCATGTCACGAGTGAAAGCAGGTTAATGATCAAACCACTAGACCATAGCTAATGATGGCTAGCACGCACACATATACCCCAAAATAGTACATCATAATAGAAAGATAACCACTGAAAACGATTAACAAATCAATAACCATAACCGAAATCATTACCCGTAGCCAGCAGTGTCTAGCACACAGGTAGATGCTATAGATGACTCACACGTTGCTCCTCCCACTCACACCACAATATTCACCATGTTTAAACTTGTACCGAGATCGATAATTGATTCTGTTACAGACGAGGCGTCACAAGCAGGTTAATGATCATGAGGTAACCACTAGACCTTAGCTAATGATGGCTAGCACGCACACCTTACAGTTCAAAATAGCACATCATAACAGAAAGATAACCACTGAAAACAATTAACTAATCAATAACCGCAACCGAAATCATTACCCATAGTCAGTGATGTCTCACACACAGGCAGATGCTATAGATGACTCACCCATTATCCCCTCCCACCCATACCACAATATTCACCATGTTTGAACTTGTACCGAAATCGGTAATTGATTCTGTTACAGACGAGGGAACCACCTCTCCTAATGACTGAAAATCAATAATAACTAGGTTACACAGGCCTGCCAACAACCAATAATTACTGCTCCTCCCTCACTATGACAGAGATAAGAATACAATTAAGTGTAAAGGATTATAAAACTCGTTATACAATATATGCTTTTATTTTCGATTGTATAAACACTATACAAGGTGCTCACACACACACACACACACACACACACACACACACACACACACACACACACACACACTTAACTGGCAAAATCAATATTAAATAGGTCACACAGGTCTGCTAATGACAGATAATTACTGTTCCTCCCTCGCCATACCAGGGATAAGAATACAATTAACTGTAATAGATTATAAAAAATCGTCATACAATACATACCTTTATTTTCAATTGTATAAACACTTTGGCAATATTCACCATGTTTAAACATGTAACTGAACCGATAATTAATCCTGCTACAGACGAGTGATCACCCCTCCCTAATTCATCATAATCCATAAATGTCTTGACACGTTGTCTGCATTAAATCACCAAAACACCTCAATATTAAGAATTCATTGCAGTCAAAAGGATTATAAAATTCGTTGCTGTACTCAATGTCTTTATTAAGGTCTTCAAATATGCCTTTAGTACAAACAAACACACAAATACAAATCATATCACCCGAGTTCCATATAACGAGGGTGATAATATGACCATCTCTTCTTGCTCAGAGGTAACGACAGCGGTGGTGCAGTCTCGTCTTGAGGTGTAACCAATCAAAATAGGAAACCCATCTTAATCCTTACTAAGATTATCAATGTTCTCATTATGTAAATATAAGACAAAATATATATGTATATGACAATATCCATTTCTCACTCCATATGCATATATAAAAAAATAATTTCAAAGACTATAATCAATATCTTTACAAATGTTTACAAATGCATAATATAACAAAGATGCAACTCTAATAAGAATAACACAACAGAAATTTCTTAACTTCGCAAGACGATTGATAAGCTATCTTACATCCCAAAGGCATCTTTCTAATAAAAATACAATTCAGTCAAAAGGATCATGAAACTCTTGTTGTACTCAATATGCCTTTATTATGACCTTCACAAAAACGCACCTAACAGGTGATAATACAAATAAAATAAAAATAACAGGTTTAAATTTTCTGTATAAATGTAAATGCGATACCCACTATCTCATACGTTTGAAAATTTCAGGCTTATACAACAGGTTAATTACCTAACAGGTTGAAAAGCCGCCAGGTTTTATTCTATTTAGAGAGCATTAATAGGGTTTTCAACGCATCTGCACGAGACCAAAAACGGGGTTCCCCCTCCTATTTCCGTCTGAACAACTAATTATCTACCACCTGTCCCCATGTGCCGACCCAGCTATGATTTGCTAATTAACCTCAAGAGGCAATGTCTTTTCCCAAAAAGTGTTCCCGCCTCAGCTCTCAATTTTTGTACAATCTGCAAACTAGGAAATATGTTCAGCTTTCCCATATGTATAACTCTATGCAGACAGCTGTATCTTTGCACGTCAATACAGTGCATTCTCTTCTGATATAAAAAGACCAGGGTAAACATCGATTAGGGATCCTCCGTTTTATGATGACATAAGAAAAAGATGAATCAGAACAGAAGGTGGACTAGCTTTTCAGTAATTTACTCCCCCTCCACAAAATTGTCTATAGTACCTCCCTGCAAGTATATACAAAGAAAAGGAACTATGCAACGGTAACCACTAATGTTGGTTACTGTAGTTTCATTTACCTAACAAATATGCTGTTTTGTCTTCAACAAGAACGAGAAAAATATTGTAAAAAAGACACAATTAGCCTAGCCGATGGGAAATAATCCAACCAAACTTTACTTCTCGATTTCCCCGTCATGATCTTTCTCACCAGTACAAACATGCTATAAGAGACGGGGATGGATAAGTTGCTATCTTTAAGTCGGACTACGACAATTTTTGGTTATTGTAGTTTCATTTATCTAGCAAATATGCTTTTTTGCCCCCCACAAGAACGGGAAAAATATTATAAAAGGACACAAATAACCTTGCCAACGTGTATAATTCAACCAAACTTTACTTCTCGATTCCCCCGTCATTGCCTTTCTACAAATATGCAGCAAGAGATGGAACTAGATAAGTTGTTATCTTTAAAAGACGATCACCCCAACCGTCGGACTATAGTGATTTACATTCAGACACAGCTTTTTAAGTAACACATGCATACATTTTCTCAAATCTCCCTATTCAAAGAGAGAAATATTTTTTACGTCGGCACTGAATAAAACTTGATACTCGATCTCTATAATATTTTCTGAATATCTTAACACAAAGTCCTACCAAATGAAAAAAAAAAAAAAACAAAAAAAAAAAAAAAAAAAAAAAAAAAATATATATATATATATATATATATATATATATATATCTTAACATCCTTTGCCTATGATTTTTCACTATGTTCCCTAGTTGTTATAGTAGCAAAAACATTTAAGACCCCTATAAACTATTTTTATCTTCAAAAATCAAAACGCCTGTATAACAAGAAGGCTTTCACTTGATTATTTTTCCCTTTTAGCATCTATGTCTTTATCAAAAACAAGAACTTTTATAAGACATGAAAAAAGAGGTAAAATAATATAACTTACCATATTATGGAAGTAATATTTATGCAATAGTTGTATACTTTTAAAAGCACATTACTCATGATTTGATTTTTATATAATATTTATTGATGTTTATTTTTACTGTTAAGAGGCTTTATTGACAGATTTTTATATATTTCAGTATTTTAACATTTTACATGGTATTCGCCAGTAGTGTTTTTGCCGTATGCGGGGCAGATAATTTAAAATAATCAATCAATCGATGAATAAATTTTCTGTGACAAAATATGTTAATAGTTTTTGGTGTTTTGATTATTTCTTCATTATATAACAAGGTTAGGTGGTACTTTTATGAAGAAAAAAAAATACATATTTGATACCATTGTTAAGCATTATTTGTCATTTAAGAATAAGAATTACACTTTTACATAAGGAAATTTGATAAAATACAAGCATGTAATGGACCGGATACGGTTGTTAGTATTTATAAGCCTCTATCAGTATCTGAATTCTCCTTCCGACAGAAGTGACATGTCCGGAAGACAGCAAATCGTGTCCTGCTAACATTATATATCTGCCTGCGAATGGGAAAAAAGTAAATAATTGCGAGGAAAGCGAGAAGCAAAACTTGAATGAATGATGGAATTACAAATTCTGACAAATTATCACGGCAAATGTTTGTACTACATTGATTGTGTATTGCAGTCATAAGAGTAATGATCTATTTTATACTACTAATGAAAGACATATTACTGTTTTCAAGTTTTCTTTTATATATATATATATATTTTTTTTTTTTTTTGGTTTTCTTCGCAAGGAACCTCCAAGCTTGATATGTCTATAAGCATCACCAATTCTAAGTCAATCAATGTCAATACATATTTAGTGTTGTGTGAAGTTATGTTATAGCTCCATTTATGATTATAATCACCCTTTTTACATCCTAGCGGTAAATACAGCATCGCACTTAGTCGAGGGGTGAGGGGGGGAGGAGCAGATTTAGGAGAAGGGTGAGGCCTCGCCAACAAGAT